TGGTATTTATAGATAACACTAGAAAGTCCTTCAAAATCCCTCTCACACAACAATCCTTTAAAATCCTTATATTTTTGAATACCAATGGATTGTTTTTAAGTTGTAAAAAATCTCAAATGAATACCAATGGATTTTAATGGACTCTTTAAAAAATCTTGAAAATCCTGATTGAATACCACTGGATTATTTTTAAGTGACATAAAATCCTGATTGAATACCAATGGATTTTTTTACTCAAAAAAAGTCTTTTAAAATCCTACGAAATCCTAAACCAATACACCCCCCTTAATCTCCTAAAGATATTTAGGCATATTCCCAACAATTTATTTGAAGAATTTCAAATTTCTTGAGGTAAAATATACTTTGTTTGGATGGAGAATTTACAAAGAATTTGAAATTCAAATATTTGTGAAATTCCTTAAAATAGTAAAATTTCAAATTCTCCCAAAAACACCCCAACAAACATGAAAACAGAACTTACATTTTACTTGAGGTCTGTTTGGAGGGATACTATGACAATAGTTCCAAGTGATATCGGGGAACCACAGAATCGTATCGTATCGTACGATACGAATCGCAATTCATCCTATACTTACTACCATGTGTCATATAATAAAACCACAATCATGTTTAGCATTGATTCATATCTACCTAAATCCTAAACCTAAACAAGTGATCTCATCATCTTCGAAAATGTCTCCAAAACTGTAAAAAGAAGTTTGATGAAAAAGAGCATATCAATGTTGTAATTAAAATTCCTTTTGATTTTGAATGAACTTAGTTTTTTGTACCGGGGGATGATAGAAAGGTTAGTAAAGATAGGATGGAGGCATTTTGAGGTTAGGGCATGTCACAAACCTTAATAATGGCTTAATGTGCTATGTACACATGACCTACCAATGAAAGTGCAGCAAAAGGAATTGAACCCATGACCTTTCCTGCTGTCTTTTGATGATGTTTGATCTACTACTAGGAGTAGGGCCAAGTGCCAACCCCTGTTGACTTCATGAACTGTTCCTTCTATTAATCTACTGTTGCCAACCCCTGTTTTCTTCAGTCTTTTTCTTTCTGATATTTTTTAGAAACTTGAACTTTTTTCCCCTTGTGAATATTTTACATCAGGACTCAACTTTCTTTTCCTACAAAGGTCTTCTTTTGCCTGGCAAAATCTTGTTAGCATTCTTTATTTATTTATTTATTTCCTTTTAGATGTTGCAATTTACGTGAGGTTTATGTACTGTTCTAATAAAGCATAGACCTTTCATGTTGATACTTTTTACTCAGGCATAGATGGGTCATTGGGTTTAAAAGTGGTGTCTCCCACTTTGTTTGCAGCAGAAAAGGAAGAAGCCAAGGCTGTATTAACCTCGTTTTTGAAGAAACAAGGTTTGAGGAAAGCGCTTGCTGCGAGAACCATTAACAAGTCGGATCTTTTCATTGATCACCTTGTCCCAAAGCTTCATTCTAAGCACAAATCTTGGTATCTTGCAGGTTCTGTCACTACAACTAATTACTCTATTTTTGTAACTTCCTTCAACGTTGTAATCTGATACTCACAGTTTCATTGACATAAACAGGGAGAGAGCTTACAACATTGGAGATCAGGGATGCTCTTATCCCTTATCCTGAATCTCTTTTTGAAGAGCATGGAGCCATTCTAGTGGATGTAGTGGAAAACTATCCAAATCCACCTGTTAGGGATAAATCAGCTGTGCCAATTCCTCCTCCTAGTCCAGTGTCAGACTCAGAAGCTTAAAGCTGTGCCTAGAGTGAGTGAGGTAGACACAGATGGTGGCAGTCTTTGCCCTCATATTGTCTATCTTATGGAACTTGGTATGGATATTGAGCAAATTAGGAGTATCACACATTAATTTCTATCTTTTGCCTACTATAGCTTGGAGGGTAAAATTAAGCCAGTGGTTGAGTTTTTTCTTGATCTGGGAGTGCCAAAAGAACATTCACACTATCCTCACTAAAAGGCCTCAATTGTGTGGTATGTTTCTTTATTACATTGTAATTTGATATTTGATATCATCTGACGTTAATTGTTAATTTTAATTTATAATAATATTGTCATAGATCAATTAAATTTGGATGATGATGAAGATGACGACGACGAGAATGATGAATTAAATGACAGCACTATGAAGGATGTGAATCTAAATGAAAGTACAAGTGGTGAAGCTTCTCATTTCCCTGATGAAGAAAAAGCACCTAAACTGGATCCAACTTTGGCTCCTTAAGCATGAATTCTGGGCTTTTGTACTGTTTTAATGTTATGAGCGAGCTTATGTTCATTTATAAAACATTGGCGGTTTATTTGTGTTTTGAACTTATTTACAGACCTGTGTTGTTATAAACTTTAATTGTCATCTGAGATGTTAGGTACTTTTTCATGAAAATTATTTTAAATTTGGAGTATGGATTGCTTAAATTATGTTAGCAATATTATATATATATATATATAGAGTGAGAGAGAGATCCGTTGACTCCAGGAGTAAGTTTACTTATATTTATTTCATTTAATAATTTATGTTTTATATCAAATTTCAATAACTCAACCGTTAAATTTAGAGTTCTTAATGTATCGATCAAATTTGCATTCAAATCAATGTATAAAATGATTTTATGATTATCTGTCAAATCTTAACGATCCAACCGTTGAATTTAAAGTTCTTAATGCATAGATCAAATCTGTAAATTTTTAAGAAGTTTGATAATTATTTGATACTTCATTTCATTAATTCAAATTGACAGATAATCATAAAATTATTTTATACATCTATTTGAATTAATGAAATGAAATATTAAATAATTTTCAAATTTTTTTAAAAATTTGTAGATATATATATATATATATATATATATATATATATATATATAGAGAGAGAGAGAGAGAGAGAGAGAGAGAGAGAGAGAGAGAGAGAAGAGGGATTCATTTACTCCATGAGTAAGTCTACTTAGACTTATTCCGTTCAATAACTTATATTTTATATCAAATTTTAACGATCTAATCGTTGAATTTATAGTTTTTAATGTATAGATCAAATCTGTAAATTTTTAAAAATTTTAAAAATTATTTGATACTTCATTTCATTAATTCAAATTAATGCATAAAATAATTTTATGATTATCCGTCAATTTGAATTAATTAAATGATGTGTCAAATGATTTGCAAATTTGATCTATATATTAAGAACTTTAAATTCAACAATTGAATTATTGAAATTTGATGTAGACATGAATTATTAAACAAAATAATTATAGGTAGACTTATTACTAAAATAAACGAATTCCTTCTTTTATATATATATATATATAAAGTGAACAAGTTTCATTTGTGACTTACTGGATTTACTACTGACAATTGATGCAATAACTGATCTGATTTTTTTTTCTATCACTGATTTAACCTTTAGTCCAATCCTCTCAATTTATGTTACATAATTTTTGTTTTTTTTTTCTTAACACAACTTCACAGATTTTGGGTCATTTAAATGGATGCATTATGTTTTTTATTATTATGCGGCACGCTTTTCACCTGAAGATTAATACTCCAGGCAGAGATCTTCCAGAGAAATGTTTTTTTTAATCTAGAATTACATCGTTGACATTAGAATTCATCAAATTTAAATTTTATGCATACTGCTTCAAATCTTTCACCATTAGAAGTGACTTGGTCTTTTGTGAACAAGCAATCTACGTTGAAATACATAGCTAATAGGTAAGTTTGTTTAAATTTTTTTCTTATAATTTTTTAAAATAAAATAAGCACTTTTTATATTTATTTTTTTAATGTATTTGTCTAAAAAATTTTAAAATAAGTATTTTTTAAGAAAGAACTCTATCTATTTTTTAAGAAATTATTTTAAAAAAAACACTTATTTAGAAAAAGAAAAAGAAAAGTTTAAACAAATAGGCCTGATATATACTTTTGGGATTTTAAAATACCTTCAATATTTGTGGCTTTGTGCCTCTGCCTTGCATATATCGTTCCTTGATGAGTTATACGAAATTATGTAGTGAAAATATAAGAGGGGAAATATAATGGTTAAATACATAAATAATTGGATATAGACTGTTCTTGAGATTAAATTTTGTTGTCCACTTTGGGACTAGCCCTCTCAGTTTTGTTTTGAATACCACTCAAAAAGCCTTTTTACCAATGAAGATAATTGTGTGTATATAAACTCATGCCCATTCTCTTGTTTGAACGATGTGAGACTTTGCTTGCATCCCGACAAATTTTACCATTCATTTTATTTCGGTTGGATTTTATGCTACACTACTCACTTTTGAATGTGTTATATTCCTAATTTGTTAATTTTGAGCAAGTAGAGTGCACTGTAGTAACATTTATTTCAGTATTTTGTGCATTTTGGGTCACTTATCTTTCTTAGAACAGTAAATTATGGCAAGTATCTTGCAGCAGAAATTCAGATTTTATTTTGTTTTCAAACTGCATTTTTTTACTAGCTTTCTAACAGTCTAATAACTTGCTACTGTGGTTGTGGTTTCTGCATTCAGTGGAGAATGCATATGTGAAATGCTGTGGATGTGTGATGTAAAGTGGTTTAGATTCTGTTGATCTTTCAGAAGTTTAAACCAAAGTTGTGTGATGCAGTTTATAATATCATGGCTTATGATATTATGTGAAGCTTGATAATAGAGTCTCCTTTGTGTGTATTGTGATATTTTCCACTATTGTTTTTCAGTTTTGTCTGATTAATTTTAGCCACTGAGCGTGGGAAGGAAATGTCAATATATATTGGGAACACATTTGCTGAGAGAGAGAAAATATCAAGCTTAGTGGCTAAAATTAATATTATTATTTCCTTAGATAATGCATTCTTGTGACTAAAACTATTGAATGTAAGAGCGTGGTACGAATCAATATTTATCATTTAATTTTTACTTGTGAGAATAGAGAATCAATAAAGATCCACCTTACAATGTCGTTGACCATATAAATGGCTGATTACTTGCGAGAATAGAGAATCCAAATAAAAAGAGATAGAAAAGTATTAAAAAGTTCTATGTGAAAGATTGTGCTTGTCCTTTCACACAGAAGGCATGGAATGGAATATTAGTAGTATTCTCATAACCAATTCTTGTAAAATATATTCTAACATAAAATCACAAATGAGTAAGATTTTTTTATATGTATATAATCTATGCAGTATTTCAAAATTAATAATAAAAAACTAATTTATTCTTATAAAATATGATTTTTTGTTGATTAAATATTATTTGAATATCGACAAAAATTGATTATTAGATAATTAGGTCAATTCTCATGTTCTGAAATAATTCTTACAATTATTGACTAAAAGATTTGGTTCATTATTTAATTACTCAACATGAGTTTCTTTAAATATAAGTTTACTAACTTTAAAATAAAAAATCAATCATTTTCTATTATTCAAGGTTTAATGCATGTTTGTTTTACTATGTGGAAAAACTAGGCGTATGTTTAACTCAATCCATCTATATTCATACTTTTCTGTTTAAGTACATGAAAATGTGTGTGGATGAGTATTCAAACACACCCTTAGTCTCTGACGTCCATTTGTTGTAGGTGGTGGGTAAGTAAGATGGCTTCTAACTCTAAAAGTAAGCACATGAAGAAGAAACACATAACATAACAAACAAACAGTGAAAGAAGTTGTGAGTTTGAACGATTTACATTTACTCCTGTTTAAAAGTTTGGTTTAGACAATGTTTTCAAACGTGCTATGATTATGGATCAAAGTTAGATTCACTCACTGTGAGTAAATAAGGAAAATGATCACGTTGTAATGTATGCTAAGAAATTCATAGGTGATTTCGGAGATATATTTTTCTTCTTCTGAATCATTGAATGTGTATTTTATTATATCAGTGTTATTGGTCATTATTGTGTCTTATTTTAACTATATTTTTAATGTTATAATTAAGGTGGTTTATATTTGTTGACCAGAGGGAAACAGACAAACAGTCCTTGCAAAAACAAAATGCACGTTTATTGTTTGGAAAAATTATTTCAGGTTGTTGAAATATCATATAAGATAACCCGTTGGATTGGACCAGTAATATGCTCACATGTTATGGGACAATTTATATTCAGTCAGTGTTGTATGTAAAATTGTTTTGAAACAGTAGCGGTCAAAATACTGAAAATAAAATTATTTTTTAAGTTAGTGGCGCGAAAAAGAAACAGTCACATATGATTATGTCATTTCTATATTAAATACGAAGTTTTAGACACTTTTCTTTATTGATATCATTTATAGGTGTTTGTGTTCAATGAGCTACAGGATTTGTGGAATTATTTATTTATTTTTACTTCTTACCGAATTCAACTTGTATTTATTATATTTATTTATAAATTAAATTTTATTATTTTTAAAATAAATTATTAATAATTAAAAATAATATTTTGTTACAATATAAATTATTTATTTATAAATTTAAAATATAATTTATATGCTTAAAATTATCTCTTTATACAATTTTTTTGGTCAATGATTAGGTGCATCACTATCAAATCAAACCCATTAATGTTCGATACCACTTCATTCGAATTGAGAAAAGGATTGAAGTGTAGAAGATTGACATGAAGGAGAAACCAACAAATATGCTCACAAAGCATTTTCCTATAAGCAAGTTCATTCATTGTTTGGACTTACTTAATGTAGAATATTGGACGTAGCATTGTATTGTAAGGATTCGTGTCAAGGTGGAGATTTTTAACTGTGCCATGTGATCCTTATTCTGTCAGTTAGTTTATTAATTAGGACCATATATATATGAGACACTTGTAATGTTTTGTTTACTATATAGAACTAGTAGACAAATGTGTGAGAGTGTATATGATTGTCTAGTCATCATCCAGTATAATTTTCATACTCTGAAATCGATACAGTTAATTTTCTTCATTCCTTTTACATTCGCACTTTCTTGTTCATCTGTCATTTGTTTTATCTCAATCATGCACAATAAGAATAAGAGTGGTGAAAGAAATCTTAATATTATTATGTGAAACTTGGACATACATACAAGGATTATTTGTGTGGGAGAAAACATTAAGTCTTGATTAAGAGAGACAATTAAATATTTAACAAATATACAAATATACTTAGATTGGGTCTCATTCCATTATTATGTTAAGATTCATACAACACAATTTATTAGTAATGGAAAAAACACGCTATGCGAGTATGTACATATTTATTTTAAAAAATAATAATAGAAATCATATAGGTTAAAAGAAAAAAAAATTGCACAAAGATAAAAGACCTTGACGTGTAAGGGAGTTTACTTTGGTATTAAATAATAAAGAATTAAAAAAATAAAAGAGTAGTTACATTTATTTATGTTGGTTGGTGAATACATTCTTATAGTCAATTAACAATATAATGTTTTCTAAAAAGAAATA